TTTGAGACAGTGTCTCACCATGTAGCCTTGGCTGGCCTGAAACTCACTCAGTTCTGCCTCCTGAGTGCTGGGATTAAAGACTTGTGCCACCACTACCGTGGCTAGTTCCCAGTGTTCTTTTAAAGATGCAAAAATGAGACCTAGAGAGACTCTCAGTACTCTCAGCTGCTAAGAGTACTGGAGGCTCATACTGAATAGTTGGCTTCAGTCTCCAGCACCCACAATTCAAAGCTGTCTGTAACTCCAGTTCCAAGGGATCCAATGGGCCTCCACGGGCACCTGCACACACGTAATGCACATACAAACATGCAGGCACACACACATCCACAGAAATAACAATAAATACATCTCTAAAAATATACAAAAAGCGCTTTACGCACAAAGTGTCTAAGAGCTTAGCTAGTCCCTGGAGTCTGGTCTAAGAAGCTGGCCAAAAAGCTTTTTTTTTTTTTCTGCACAAAAAGGAGTTTTAATTTTTCACTTTTTTCTTCCTCAAAAGTAATCTCCCTTTGTCTCTAAGGGTGCTTAAAGCAATCACCACACGTGACCAACCACAACTTTCAATTAAACGAAAGGGCTGGCTGCATGAAGAGACCACTTCCCATTTACGATTTGGATCGCCAATTGATCCAAAAACAGAACAAAAAGAGCCTGTGATACTGGCTCATCCGCCAGGCGCTGTCAGCAGGGAACATCTGCCTCTCATTTCCCAAAGACCCTCTGGCTTTGCTCCTACTTCCGCTGGTTAATCAGCATCTTCTTCGGGGAGGAGGCCCATCCTGAGAGAGGCCTTTGCTCTGGGGCCCAGGACTCTGAGCAGAGTGAACGCATAGGTCTTCCATGGGCCTCATCTCAGTGCCAACTTCTACTTACGTCCCAGAGAAATCCAGCAGTGTGTGCATTACAGATAAAGTGCGACAGAAAAATGTCTTTGAGACAGAAGCTTGAAAGGCACCATACTAAACTAAGCCCTTTGCAGGGGCATCCCTCCACTTGACACATGGCTAGGTTTCCTGAGGCCAACCACTAAGATAGCGGCAAACACACAGATATCTTACACACGTATCATGAATATAAATAAGCTTCCTCCTGCTCCAGGGTCTGGCAAATTTTCCACTTCCTTGACCCAACCAGGGAGTTTTATCGGTCATTCTGTTTTGTTTCTAATGGGCTGGACTATTTTAAATGTACTCGATAATTATGGCCATCTCTCTCACAGTTAGCTTTCTTGGAGCATATGCCAGAGAAAGCCGGTGTCGAGTAAGATGTTCCCGCCTTGCAACCTTAGAAACTGAATGTTTAAATCTCTTTCTCTTTCTGGTGTTCTGTCTTTCTGTTTCAGTCAGACTCTTGTTACGTAACCTGTGCTCACCTTGAACTGCTCATTGTTCTTTTCCAGCCACTCAGGGGATGAGTACCAGAAGAACAAATAAGAGAAGCCCAGCCCAGAGTGGCTGATAAGAAAGGAACAGAAATAACAAATTTCTGGCTGGGTCCACATCTCAGTTTTAAAGCTAGGAGGTAGGTAGTCTGGCTATCCAATCTCTACAGAAATGGCAAGAATTAGTTCACTAGCCTGAGGCTCTGTGAATAATAAATAAATAATGCTGCTTTGTGCGGTATCATAAGATCACGTTCCCAGTATTAACTGAACTGGCTGAAATCCACTCTCCCAGGACACATATGCAATCGAAACTTTGGAAAAATCACCATTTCCCCCAGAACCAGCTGACATTTGGAACAATGCTTCGTTTTTGCCAAAGCAAGCATTCTAAAGACTCAAAACGGTGGTTGTGCCGACATTTCAGATTGCTAGCAAATCTTTTACCGAAATGATGGCATCTGTCTACTCTGGGGCTCTCAGGAGAATCAGCGCCTTTTGTGTTCCACCAAGCAGTGTATATTCTTGCACTGTCCATTGAAAACACTCTGAACGAAGAAGCATGTAAGCAATGTCTGGGTGGAGAAGAGCGTGGGCAGCAAGCACCGCCCTCTTCCAGATGCTCAGGAGCTCTGCACCCTGACAGACTGCAGCAAAGGCTAATAAGCAGGGATGCTTCAAGTCCTCTGGCCTTCCCAGTCTCTGGGTCAGGTGCTCAGTAATCTCTGAATAAGTGGTTAAGTACACGAAGGATTCGTCTGGTTTTGAGCCAGGCATGTGGCGCACACTTGGGATCTTGGACCCTTGGGAAGCCTAGGGAAGGACAATCACCAGATCAAGGGGAGGACAGGTTAGATAACAGGAGGCTGCCTGAAAGGCCTACAACCAGAAATAAAAATAAAGGGGGAGGAGGGAAAGAGGGAGGGAAGAGAAACAGAGAGAGAGAGATAGAGGGGGAAGGAAGGAAGGAAGGAAGGAAGGAAGGAAGGAAGGAAGGAAGGAAGGAAGGAAGGAAGGGGGCTGAATTTACAAACTACTTTGGTAAAAATACCCAGTTCCCGGGACTACTTGAAACATGATCACTTCTTTACCCTTACATTTGAGTAAGCTATAGTTTTCCTCTTTGGTTTCCTGTGGTGAAATAGTTTTAATGATTTCTCTTCTCACTATAGAATCAGGTGCAATTTTTAACCTTTTACACGTTGTTGCTTCCCCAGAACAAGCCATAGTTTACCAAGGATCAAAGCCACGCATAGGAAGGTCACTCTTGACAACATTTGTTTAACCATGGGCCTTGATCCCAGATGATGACTTAAAGAAAAAAACCAAGATTTTTATAAATGTATATGAAAAAAAATAAATGTATATGAATGTTTGCCTGCAAGTATATAGGTACATGTGTGCCATGTGCATGCCTACTGCCTGTAGAGACCAGGAGATGCTAGACCCTTAGAACTGGAGACACAGACAGTTGTAAATGCCATGGAGGTGTAGGAACTGAACCCAGGTCCTCTGCAAAAGCAGCAATGTTCTTAAGCCATCTCTCCAGCTCCTTGCCCATAACATGTCTTTATAAATTTTTAAAAATTATTTGGTAAGCCATTTAGAATGCCTTTTGTCTCTTCAAGTGACAATTTTCCTGTAAAATAACAGGTGTATCTGCCCTAACAGGTCCCCAAGTCATGGTGCAGTCAGCTCCTATAATGAGATACCATCAGCTCATGGCTTATAAGTGACAGGCGTGTATTCCTCCAGTTCTTGAAACTGGGACATCCACAGGGGTGGCTGAATCAGTGTCTGTCGAGGGCCCACGTCTTCCTGGTGACATTATGAGGTAGGAAGAATTGAGTTGGGTCTCATGGATCTTTAAAAAAAATGACGATGATCAATCCAAAAACATAAGGGCCATAGTTGTCACCTCCTAAAGCCATCACACTGGAGACACAACTGGACAACAGCATTAGATGAAGGACTTGACGAGGAGGGAGGGAGTGCACTCAGAGGACACTTCATGCTACTGATAAAACTATTGTGAGCCAAGAATCAATTGGCTTATAGTAAGCCAACGAGAAGAAGAAGAAAAAAAAAAGACAAAAAGGACTTTCTCATTGTTCCCTTATACTTACTTTTAAAATGAAAACACACAAAGTTGGTAAGGTTGTGCTAAGACTAACAAACTCCTAAAAGCTTTTGGTCTTGAATTTATGTACGTGTAGGTGTATCTCTGTGTGTGTGCCACATGTATGTGTGTGCTAACAGAGGCCAGAAGAGGATGCTGGGTCCCCTGGAACCAGAACCAAAGGCCATTGTGAGACACTTTACATGGGGCCTGGGAACCAGACTTGGGTCCTTTGGAGAAGCAACATTGCTCTCAACTGCCAAGTCATTCTTTCAGCCCCTAAGTCCTTTGGACTGTGTAAATTACCACAACTTTTGTTGAATATTATAGTTTAGGAAGAAGAAGTCAAAGCTATAAAAAAGAGCTACAGTGTTTTACCGTAAGACATATCAACCTTTAACCTTAGGGGAATAAACCAAAAGACAAACTGCATGCACAAGAAGATATAAAATGAAAATATTATCTTTAACTGGATAAAAAAAACAAAACAAAAAACAAACGTGGTACTGGGAATTAAACCCCAGATCTCACATGTGTGACACAACCACCTTACAACAAGTTATTTTTCCCCAGAAAAACATTTGTATGGTGTCTGGAGGTAATGAAATGCCCCAAACTGGAGCCACCAAGCCAGCCTCCATCTGCCCACTGTTACCTTAGTACATTACCGGACCTTAAACACTACGTGTCCCCAAGGATCCAAAAGAATCAAACGTTAAACAAAAGGCCTCGCACAAGGAGCAGCCGCTGCTGCCAGAAACAGACTTCCCAGGCTCGGCCGGGCTGTAATGACTAGAAGCAACTCCAAAAACAACAAAGGAGCTGCCGGGAAACCGTGCTAAGGACCCCCAGCTTTTAACAAAGTGCACGTTTTTTTGGGGTTTTTTTTGTTTTTTGTTTTTGCTCACCTCACCCCGCCCTCGCCCTCCCTTTGTACCCTGACACCAGCAGAATGCAGACAGACACGGAGCCCCATCACGACAGGGAAGAGCTTGAGGGAGGCCCTACAGCGAGCCACTGCCCCACTTCTGAGGGCTGGAGAGGCTGCTCTGAGCCGCAAGGAAATCCCAGCTCAGTTTACTTAACGGTTTCATAACTGGAAATGGGGGCGGGGGGGCATAGGGGCATGCGTGTGTTCATGTGTTGGTGTGTATTGTATGTGAGTGTGCGCATGTGTGTCTGTATGCCTGTGTTTGAAGGAGAGACTACAAATGGAGCAACAGATTCCAGCCTCTCTAAAGACTCCTTCAGTTAAGAGGCCTTGTGGCATGTGGTCCACGGTTGGGCTCTGTAATCCTCTCCTGTCTTCAAACAGCAGTCCTAAGGATTGACACGACACCACGTCGGCGACTGGTTCCTCAGTCCTTGCGGAAGGACTCCTCAGCCACCCCTGCTCCAGGCCCCAGCTTTCTCTGCCAGGCTGCCCTACCTCCTGAAACCATGATGATGCTGGGGCGGCAGATGTCCCCTCAGGCTTTGCCTTCTTCGAAAGGGACTTACCTTCAGGAGAGGCAGCGGAAGCTCTTCTTTCACAAGCGTTATTCCAGGAATTTCCTATGAAGGGGGTGGGAGGGGAAACATGCAGGCAACACGTTAACCACCCCATGCCTAGGCCTTCGGGAAGTGTCTTCTGCATCCTGTGGGATGACCTCTACTTTAAATAACTTCCTAGTATGAAAAAAATAACAGGACACAGTGTTTCTCTTGCCTTGGACAAGGAAATAGTCTTTGTTTTTGTTTGTTTTTATTCTTTTTTGGGAGGGTTGGTTTTGTTGTTGTTGTTTTGGTTTTCAAGACAGGGTTTCTCTGTGTAGTCCTGGCCCTCCTGGAACTCACTCTGTAAACCAGGCTGGCTACGAACTCAGAGCTACGCCTGCCTCTGCCGCCTGAGTGCTGGACTAAAAGCATGCACTGCGCCATAGCACCTGACTACTTCTTTCCTTCCCTCCTTTTTTTTTTTTCTTTTTCTTTTTCTTTTTTCTTTTCTCTTTTGTTTGAATTATTTTTTAAATAAAAGCTGACAGGTACTCTAAAGAGAGAGGAACAATTATTGTGAGAAAATACAGAGCAAATACTATATTTTTAGACATTTCCACTTAAGAATAAAAAGGCAAATTATATCTGAACCACTAAAGTCATCGAATTCATTACCTGTCCACCTACCCTTTCTGCCTTTTTTCACTTGTTTGTAGAACTAGCTGGTCCTTTCCTTTCTAGAAGGAACCAAAGTCAATGGAATTCGCACACCCTGGGGTCCGCCATGATTGCAGAGACAGCACTTCATAAAAAGTTTCTGCACAGTCCAATGGCCAAGCTAAAACATGCACAGTTCATGCCAGGAAGTGCCACCCACCCACACAATTCTGCTAATTCATGAACCTTAGAGCAAGCCTGGTGAGCCAAGAGTGTTGAATGTCTACTCCCAGGCAAGGGAGGTAGAGGCAGGAGGATCAGGAGTTCAAGGCCATCCTCAGCGTCACAGTAAGTCTGAGCCCAGCTCTGGCTGTATGAAACCCTGTTCCTGTTAAAAAAAAAAAGGGTTCAGGGACCAAATACAAAAGGATAAACTTCCCAAATTCCCCTTGTCTCTTGGGTACTATGAAAAAAAATATCTGTGTGTTACCTCTGTAGCTTGCCTTTCTGCCAGTCAATTCAGATTTCCTTCAAAATGCAGATGTCACTAGAAAACAATCTAGGAGGGCTCTGTACAAATGTTTGATTGGCATTTGAATGGCTGGACATTACAGGCACAGTGTTCCCATGAGAGGAAAGCCGCCCGTGAGGCAGGAGTTAACTCTCAGAGCATCCGAGCTCTTGAGTCCCCACAGGAACACAGAACACCCATGTTAAGGACTAGGTGTGTGCCACTCATCACCGCTCAGCAGCAGGCGCCTCAAAGCAGCGCTGCAACTCTAGGTTCTCTGACGTTAACAGATTCTCAACTCGGCAGTCTGTAGAGTGACCACAGGGACAGGCCTCTGGACATGCCTGAGACGTTCTCTAAATTAGGTGAACTGAGGTGTCCTACATACAGGCATCACCAGAGAGAATGAACCCAGCGGGGCAGGAGCCTTTGTTGCTCCCTAACTCTTGAGTGTGGTGCAGGATGACCAGCTGTCCGCGGCCACGCTCTCTCCACCTCGAAGGACTGTATCCCTACAACTGTAGGCAATCCCCTTCCTTTCTTAAACTCTTTCTTGTGGTATTATTTTGTTACAGCGACAACAAAAGTCATTTACATGAGTTCAAAATGGCACTTCAAAAGGCACGACAGTAATATCTCAAAATAACTATAATTACAGTGCACAACTTAGAATTAGCTATAAGCAAGAGCACTCTAAATTTCTAGTATTTTGCTTAACTGTATAGAAGTCCATTGGAATGTATAGACTTTGGGTCTGCTTACAGTCAATGTATGGTTTGGGGCCTTTGTTTTTTTTTTTTTTTTAGGCTTTTTTAAAAATATAGTATTTATTTTAAACATCCAGTTGCTGGTAGGTGTGGTGCTGTATACCTGGGGTCTCACTGAGAGGCTCCTAGGCTAGCCTGAGCTAAATAGTGAATTCTTTGTCTCAAATTAAAAAAAAAAAAAAAAAGAAAAGAAAAGAAAAGAAATCCAAGTCAATCTTTCCATTCAGATTCAAGAGCTTGTTATTCTCTGCTGTGGTAAGTTTTTAAGGTTGTAGCAGTGGGGATGACTGTAGACAAGGGAAGGGAACGGGTCCTTGCTGAAGATGACAATAAATGCATGGAGCTTTGGGATTAGAGAAGGCCTTTAAAGGTAACTTATTCAAACCACAAGAAGTTTTAAAGAAACTCGGTAAACCCCAAGAAAAAGTCTAGTGTATAGAGGTTACAGCTGTGGGTTTCTCTACATTTTTCTTGTGGGACTTCCTGGTGTCACCGTGTCTGTGTCTACAAAGTCACCTGTGTTCCAGAGAGCCTTGAGAGGTGAACAAATGAATTGCTGCCCACCAGGACGGTGGCCTCACACAACACCCAGGTAAGAGCACAGCCCAGGGTCCCAACACTGCCTCTGCACACTCCACACGCAGGACAGAAGAGCAACGGGTACGTGCAGGGGGAGCTGCTGAGCATTTCCTGACCCGATGGTGTAGCCTGCAGACTTCCTGCCCCACGACCGCAGAGTCCGCCTAGACTTTCGTCATAAGTCGTTTAAAGAAAAATAACAGCCTGGACGCCTAGAAAAAGGAGAAGCCCGGGTCTTTCCTCTTGCAACTTTACAATGAAGCAAAGAAATCTATTAGCTATAATCCTTAAGACAAGCAGAGGTCTCCGGGAAAACACAAAAACTTAGAAATTAAACAGACATATTCGCTAGCTATGGTGGCGTGTGCTTGTAATCCCAGCACGTGGGAGGGACAGACGGAAGGATCAGGGATTTAAGATCTGGTTACATCAGCCCATATCTCAGAAAAAAAAAGAAAGAAAGAAAGAAAGAAAGAAAGAAAGAAAGAAAGAAAGAAAGAAAGAAAGAAAGAAAGAAAGAAAGAAAAAAACAGAAAAAAATTAAATAAATCAAACACATTTGAAAATTTCTCCTTTTCCTTAGACTGGGTCTCACTACTAACTCCAACTGAAGATCTTCCTGCCTAGGCCTCTCCTGAGTGTGGAATTACAGGCTTGCACTAAACATGGGCTCTTTATGTGTCTCCACTGACTGTGCTAGGAAATAGACAAAATACAAAATGAAAAGTGTCACAACTTACCAAGTACAGAGTTCCCAATACCTGTCACCTAAATTAAGTTCCTTGCTCTAAATACCTTTTTAATATAACTCCTGCTTCAAGACCAAACACGCTGCTCCACTGTCTAAGAAAGGAGAAAGGGCAGACACTGGTGTCACCCTGTCTGTGTCTACAAAGTCGCCTGTGCCCCAGAGAGCCTTGAGAGGTGAGCAAATGAATTGCTGCCCACCAGGACGGTGGCCTCACACAACACCCAGGTAAGAGCACAGCCCGGGGTCAAAACACACTGAAAAAAAAAAAAAAAAGCCGAGTGCCCCACTAACTACTGTATAGGAAGGAGTCCAGACTGACAGGAAGGGTGACTTTGATCTGTCCTGATGCTTTTAAGCTGCCTAATTTCCCTTATAAATCTTTATAAAAATAGGAAAAGGTGTCATTGAAGTCAAAATCTACCAAGCATTACCACAGTGGTCGAGCCACTTCTTATTCATAAAAACCTACTAAAAAAATTGAGAACGGCCAACGCAGGAATAAAAATGTCCTGTGATAAAATACCATCACTGAGGTCTTGTTCTGCGTGCGAGTAGAAAGGGTGACGATGGCCCTGCGTGTGCTCCATCAAATCTATTGTTTTATGTAAATGCTTCTAGCCAATGGCAGAGACTCCTTCGGGCTGAGAGTCCCTGAGCCAAGATGCTCAGCAGCAGAAGTGTTTCAGATTTGGGCTTCTTAAACATTTTAGATTTTGAAGTTCCTCATATACATGAGGTCTTTCAGTGATAGAACAGAAATCTAAACATGAAAATTATTTCTCTTTCAGAACACATACACACAGAAACATGCCTTTGAGTCTTCCGAAAGAATCCAACTTTTATTGTCCCAACAATACTCTTTTTGCATCTGCAGTTCAGAATGTGCATACATATGTATGTATGTGTGTGTGTGTGCATGTGTGTATATGGGATATATTTATGCAAATACGCATATCCTATGTGGCAAGATTTTTCATATGTGGCATCATGTTGACTTTCAAAATGTTCAAGATTTTGTAGCATTTAGACTTTGGATTTTCTGATTAGGGTTGTTTATGCCTTCTGACCAGAACTTTCAGCTCAGTTCCTTGTCAGTCAAAACAGAAGTGAAATTATAACACTGTTTTCCATAATGTTAGGGAGAGGTCTACCCTGGACCCAAGGTGGCGAATCCACCATGACTTTGTGAACTTACTGTGTCCCAAGTCAGCACAGAGGAGTACGGTAACAGCATGTCCACATCAGCCAGCTCTGGATACACGCTCCAATAGGAAGAGGCTGAGCAGGTTTTTCAGAGAGAAATGACACAGTAAGAAGAGGAGCGAGCACTGTCATCTAAGCAAATCAAGTAAACCAATACGTTTTCATCACCTCATTCATGTCACAGGAGGTTAACCATTACGATTTTTATCTACAGCTTCGATGTTCAGATTCTCCTTTTTACGACAAGAACAGTATTTTAAAATGTTTTCATTCAGTACTGTTTCTACACAGATGACATTATACCACTTGCACAGAGACAATCAATATAAAAACCAGGCTAAGAAAAATGCATTTTGCTGAAATTTTTGTTAATAAGGTTACAGAATCAAAATCTGATCTTTATCTCCTTGGTCTCTGAAAACCACGGCTTCTTGCAAAAACCACAAGAGAATGGAATTTAATTAGCCACTGATTGCAATGAAGTTAAAAAGAAGAAAAACAAAACACTGTTAAACTGCATTTTGACAGAGGCATCCACTGTCAACTTGCTGCCTTCCCTCAAGCAAAGGGGTTGAACATACAGCTTAAAGTGCAGCCTTGGCAACACTTACCAGTTAGAAATTCCTGAATGAGGTCAAACGAATGGCAGGCAGAGGCTTGCTCAGAAATCCACTGAAGAATCTTTAAAAAGAAAGGCCATAGAACTCTATTGGCTTCTAAAGCTGTACTCTGTACTCTGTCCCATCAAAGCAGTACAAAGATAAGTGATAGATAATACATAAATGAATGACTTTTTAAAATTCTACAACTATTTCAGGAATGACCTGAAAATATATCTACTTCCAGCTTAAAAACAAATGTAGTCCTGGATAGGTATGACAATATTGTAAATAAGGCGCTTTTTATATAGCCTTTTAACAGGAGCTTTTGGGTAGCATCCAGAGAAACCTTCTTCAACCCAATATGCATTTTTTTTTTTTTTTGGAAGAATGGATGATGTCACCAAGAGATCTACTGCACACGAGAGCAATGCACAACAAAACCACTGGGCTTAGAGACAAGAACCCGCTTTTAAGATCCAATGCAGCCATTACTGTGAATGTTGTCACACCGCTTAGCGAAAAGGAGTGCCTCTGTATGCCCCTTTCAACCGACAGAGATAACCTGTGCAGTCTCTCACACAATTTCTCTCCCGATGTTCAACGGCTTGATAACTGAGGGTAGGAAAGGCCTGCCCAGACATAGCTCACTCTCAACAGGATGCTTTGTTCTAAATGGACTGTGCCAGTTGTGCTTATCTTTACACAGGCAATTTAATAAAAATTTCTATAGACAAGTGCCATGCAGATGCAAAAAGAGCATTGTTGCGTCAATAAAAGTTGTTTATTGTGGAAAGCCTCAAAATCATGTTTCGAAAACATGACAAGACTAGATGTAGATTCTAAAACCCTAAGTCACCAGATGCAGAGGAAACAACTGTAAAAAAATTGGGTGAAAGCATGTCTACAAGGTTCTCTAAGTCACTGATCTCCTTAGGAAGAAATATGTTAAGGGCTGAGGATATGGCTCAGTGGGTAAGGTGATGGCCACACAAGCCTGAGTACCTGATCCCTGAAACCCACATAAAAGTGAGGGTGCGGCACGTGTTCGTAACCCCAAGAAGACACCCAACGTTACTTCTGACCTTCCGCATGTAGGCACATAGATGTGTGTATGTACATGAAGACACACATGAGCCTGTACCCACACACACAAACCTTCCTTCCTTTTAAGAAGGAAGAAAGCCAGAGATAACACATTAGCATTGGCTTGACGGAAGAAAAATGACTGAAATTTAGTTAGCTGATTCACAAAGAGCGGGACTTAGTCTACACCAAAGGTAAGCAAATAAAAGTATATTTTTTTATGTTTTATGTTTTTGTAAGTGGACTTTTTTTTTTTTCAATTAACTAGTCAACCACTAACCCCAGTCATCACTGATTGATGGGGGTGTTCCCAACTTTAAAGAATACTTTCAAAAAAGTAAGTGACAAAATAAACAGTGCTTCATAAATGGCACTATCTGATACAAATTATGATATCTTATTCAAAATGTAATATTTGCCACAAGATCTTAGACCTTCAGTGTTTGTTTCTTCTGAGAAGGTTGTGACAGGAATTAATCCTATAGTCCAAGATATCGTCAAACTTACTATGTAACCTAGGCTGGCCATGAACTCACAGAACTACTCCTGACTCAACATTTGGGACTGTAGGTGAAAGGGACTATAACCGCCTTGTTTGGCCCTTTAGTAATATGTTATACCAATCAAGGACAGAAAAACAGGTAACCGAGAAACTCATTATGTGCTGACAGTGTCTCTGGAGCACTTGTTTACATTACGTAAACATTACGTTTGTACAAACGTAAACATTTTGTTTACATAAATTCAGTAGAGTGCGGCATTTGGGAGCTCACACCTGAAATCCCAGCACTTGGGGGACTGATGAGAACTGCTTCAAATGTGAGGCCAGCTTGAGTCACAAAGGACGGACCACCTGGGCTACAGAACAAAACCTCAGCTCAGAAAAACAGAGGGCAAGAAAGAGACTAGAGTAAGTAGCTGCCCTTTATCTTTAGGAGACACATGTCAAAGCCCCTGTGAATGCCGAAATCACAGATAGCAGCAAACCTTAGCAACACTGACACTCATTTCTTTACTCAGTAAGTCAAGAACTTTCAGCTTCTCATTTGAAGGAAACATTTTATATCTATATCACAGCCATTATCAGGTAAAATATGAGTATATGAAACACCTGATGAATGGGCAGGTAGCAAATACAGCATGGATACCCTGGACAAGCTGACAGTTCATGATCTTAGGCCAGGTGGAGCAGGGCAGCACAAGATTTCATTGCACTAAAAGGAGCATGCCACTTAAAACTTCTGAATTGTCTCTTTGTGGGGCTTCTCCATTTAACAGTATTAGGCCAGAGCTGATCTAAGCTAACTGAAGTCACGGAAAGTGAAATGGCAGATGAAGGGAACAACTGTACTCAAAGGACAGACAGATGCACCACCACACCCTGAGGTCTGGCAGGGAGCCAACCAAGATGCCATTACCAAGAAAACTGACTTCTGCTCCTCTGGAAGCACGAGGTAAGTATGTTTGGTGCGGTCTGTTGCTGGTGTTTAAGCTCAAGCTATCTTCTCACCTGGCCTTCCGGGAAACCTGGGTCTCGACCACAGGAGAGCACACAGTGCAATGCAGCCATCTTCTCACAGTCTAGGCGGGCATTCCACAGGAAGGACATCAAGTATGACTGGTCAAGGGTGGCTCTATAGACCTTGCCAGAATGCCAGTCCAGTATCAGGGACCCTGGCAGGGACTGTAAAGGACTCAGAGGTAGCACAGCCGCCATTTTGTTGCTTCCTAGCAAACACAAAGAATAAAATAAATAAAATAAATAAAATAAAATAAAATAAGGACAGATTGTCAAATAAAAGAACCTCTTCTCACCCAGACAGTTATTAAAGTCAGTATGAGCTTAAGGAGGCTGAGATAAGCTACAACCGTACCTGTCAGAAACAGACTGTGGCAGATCAAGTCTGGGTGATGAGTGTTAAGTAAATGAAGAAAATGACCAGGTAAGTAAACCGCCACAAAGTAGCCTGTAGGGAAGAGAGACTGGAGTCATCCACGTGGGATACAATCCATCCCGGTGCACATAAACCCCCGAACAGCATGTTTTTCTTTGAATGTAGCAAAACAGCATTATTTACTTGTTTATTTATTTTTACCAGTAACAAGTGATCAGATTATTGAAAGTATGTTCACCTTAGAGGCCAGATCTAACCGGCTTTGTGTATGGCTCATCCTCTGTACACTTAAGTCATGGCTGTTTTATTTCCTTAGTTTTGTTTCTGAGTCAAGTGCAGCTTTATGTGAATTTAGAATTAAATTAGAAATTAAAATATCAAGTAACAAGAAAATGACTCCTTAATGTGATATGCTGGGGATAGCACATAATGGGAATTTTCTTGATCTTTTTCACAGTATGAGGAAACTATGAAATGCAGTTTCCTATACTGGCCCATTCATCATCATCATTTTGTTCAGGAAATTTGAAGACTGACACTTATTAAGAGCATGTCTCCAGAAGCCATGACATTCTGCGCAGTAGTCATTGGTTTTCTTGTGTGCCTAGCACCTAGAGTTGGCACCTTCACAGTTCCTACACCACAGACATTTGCATACTCATAACACATGTACCCAAATTGAGACATGATGTAAAAACATGCTCCTAGGGTCTCAGAAAAACAGAGCAGTGAAATTCATAAAAGAAACTTCCTTTATCAGTCAGCTAGCTGGGCTCCTTTCTCTAAGAGGCACACACTAGTCATTTCTGTGAAAGGCATCTGTGGAAAGGGAAGGAGGGAGGATATCAAACTCTAATCAATTAAAGCATCCTTTCAGAAGACAGGAATGACGTATCATTAAAGAGTATAATGCAAGGAACTGCAAAACTTATTGTTGTGGCCATACTACTGGAGCAAATGAAAGAAATTTCTTGAGTGATCTGACAGCAACGGTATGGATATCCAATGATCTGTGTTAACTCCTAGCATGACTATTTAACCACCGTGTGGGGCAATGCTATATCCCAGGCAAGAGGACATTTGCAAATACAGTAAGGGACTGAGGAATGGCACAATTGTTGGTGGCAGAGTCAGTGTTGGCCCTCACTTGTGTACCGATCTTCAGGGCTTGTGGCCGTGTCTACTTAGAAAATGCTTCAGTACATTTATTTATTTGTGTAGGGGGTACATGCTGAGAATGACTTGTCTGACTATTGATTCGATCCATCCTGGGGTTGAACTTGGGTCAGGCTTGGGATCAAGAGCCTTCCCCCATGGAGCCAGCTTGCCTGCCCTAGATTAACTTTGGATGAACAGAAACTGGTGCAAACCTGACTAGGACCTGGAGATGAGGACAGAATCCTGAATTATCCTGGCAGACTCAGTGTGATCAAAGTATTACTAAGAGGAAGGGAGAGGGGAACTTGCCTGCAGAAGGTGACCACAGGGTGACAAAGCAACTCGAGTGATGAAACCTAGCCTCTAGTGTCTGATAAAGCAGGAAGGAAGTTTTTCCTCAGACACCACAGAAGGAAAGAGCGCTGCTCACACTTGATTTTAATTTCTCAGCACACCCTTCCGGTGTCTGAGCTCCAGCCTGGAAACAGAATGCCTGTGCTGCTGTAAACCCTACCTCAGTGGTCATTTGTTATACAGAGATGGAAATCGATAGAGTGTCTCCTAAGAAAGCACAAATCTATCCCTTTCTCAACCTCAGCTTCATTGACTGGGAAATGGGAATATCATTCCAGGCACAACTGTCATAAGGATCAAGATTATGTAAACATATTTGACCTGCATTATTTCTTAAGTGGTGGCTTTTATTTATAAGATGCCTGGCTTCTACAGATGCTGTTGTGTGGCTATTTCCTCTACACTCCTCATGGAGGGAAGGCTCATCCATGTTCCTATAGGTGATCCCAATAAACACACTGGTTTACCAAGATGGACTTGGGTGGAATAATTTATTTGGTCTGTTCTTGCCCTATCTGAAGTGAATAGGAATTTCTGTGTGTTTTTCCCAGGAAAAGTACTGCTAAATTTAAGTCTCTATATTTCAATCAATGCTTTTCAGCAGGATAATAATAAACGGAAATTAAAAGCAATGGATAGCAAAACATACTACTCAAAAAAGTAACTCTTAGGAAAATGCCCTCAAGAACAGTTTAAATCTTGGATACAACTTTACAGCTCTTAATACATGATGCTTAAGGAGGAAAGACAACTGTGTGAGACAGACTTTTCACAATCTCTGGTATTTCTGTCCTGTGCAAGACCACAGACTGAATCATGCTGGCCTTTCTATTTCCAGCAGGAGAAAAGGAAGAGACCTTTGCCCTGGAAAGCTATAGGATAGGTTCTCGTCACTGTTGAGACATGCACTGATAGACCTTTGCTGATAGGAACCACGGCCCAGACTCGGGAGCCCATTCTATCTTTCTCCCTCATCACAGGAAGCAATAGAGCCACACCCTCCAAAGCCATTTCTCAAGGGTTCAAGACCATGTCAAAATGTGCCATTCACTGTCCCACTTAGCAAAAGATATGAATAGTATCATTTAAAATAGAAAACTGGATATATGCCTATAGCTGGACCTTGAGGTAGCACTATTCCTAATTGTCTGAGAAAGCTCCAGATTGATTTCTAAAGTGGTTTTACAAGTTTACATTCCCACCAGCAATGGAGGAGGGTTCCCCTTTCTCCACATCCTCTCCAGCATGTTTTGTCACTTGTTTTTTATCTTAGCCAGTCTGATGGGTAAAAGGTGAAATCTCTGGGTCATTTTGATTTGCATTTCCCTGATGACTAAGGAAGTTGAGCATTTCTTTTTTTAATTTTTATTTTTTATGTTAATTACAGTTTATCCACTTTGTATCCCAGCTGTAGCTCCCTCTCTCATTCCCTCCCAATCCCAGCCTCCTTCCCTCATCTCCTACTATGCCCTCTCCAAGTCCACTGATAGGGGAGGTCCTCCTCCCTTTCCATCTGACCCTAGCCTATCAGGTCTCACCAGTAGTGGCTGCAATGTCCTCCTGTGTGGCCTGGTAAGGCTGCTCCCCCCTCAGGGGGAGGTGATCAAAGAGCCAAACACTGAGTTCATGTCAGAGACAGTCCCTGTTCCCCTTACTAGCGAACCCACTTGAGTACTGAGCTGCCATGGGCTACATCTGTGCCAGCGTTCTAGGTTATCTCAGTCCCCTATCAGTGGACTGAGGGAGGGGCATGAGAGGAGAAAAGGGAGGGAAGATGAGATTAGGGGAGTATGAGGGAGGGGGCTAGAGCTGGGATACAAAGTGAATAAATTGTAATAATAAAAAATAAATTAAAAATTTTTAAATTAATTAATTGAGTAATTAAAATAAAATTGAAAATTAGGGGCTTATTTTTCGTTCTCCCATCTCCTAGTTTCTGCACAGTTTGCCAAACCTTTGTCATAGAAGCAGATGGACTGGCAAGCAGGGGTAGCAAAATATATGAAAGAATCATGTTCTGTGAACCCAAAGCTTGCCTTCTTTAAACACTGAGTCCTTCCCGTGTGTGAGCAGATCCCCGAGCTATCACCACTCACGTTTTATGCTTTGTGCGCCCCTTCCACGCAGCTGGGAAAGCTGCTTCAGTACAGAGATGCAGTAAACCCTTTCTATACTGCCTCCACCGTATCGAATCCCCTAATACACTCACACCTAATAATAAGGTTCCCTTCACCATATTAACTTAGAGAAAACAATTCACTTAAGCTGGTCTACAAGTCATTAATGGAGGCTTTTGCAAGCCTTTTACAATTGGCGGGAGAGAACAAGACAACTGACCACAGGCCTTCTGCCTTCTACAGTCCAGGGTCAACCTGATGTATAATTTCTCACAGGCTCTTAGGGAACATCTTAGTCATACGTGCTCATTTGCATACTAACAAGAGGCCTGCTTCCAAAGTCATAGGAAAGCTCACAGCCTAAAAAACGGAAGACACATTTCAATCCCAAGAGCTGCTAAGCGGAGAAGGGTACAGGCCAGAGAAAACTTTCTTCCCTCAGGCTTAAAGGGGTCAGTGATTGTTACCATAGGCCATGTCTTAGAGGTATGAGAAAACGGAGTTGCAGAAAGGAAAATGAGTGAATGCTGGAGCAGAGAGTGACTGCTGAACAGAGCACGTGTTGGGAGAGCAGAGTAGAGAGAGGTCCATCGCCATAACCTCTGTGCTGATTAGTTTTATTGTCAACTAGACACAAACTAGTCACTTGGGAAGGGGAACCCTCAACTAAAAAATTGCCTCGATCAGACTGGCCTGCGGGAAAGTCTGTGGGGGCATTTTCTTGATTGATAATTGATGTGGGAGGGCACAGCCCTGTGTGGAAGATGCATTCCCTGAGAAAGTCGGCCTACAAAGTATAAGAAAGCAAGCCGAGCTGGCTCTTTGACCTCCCCACCCCCCAAGGGAGGAGCAGTTCTGCTAGGCCACAGAGGAGGGCTTTGCAGCCAGTCCTGAAGATACCTGATAAAACAGGATCAGATGAATGGGGAGGAGGTCCCCCCCATCAGTGGACTTGGAAAGGGGCAGGGTGGAGATGAAGGAGGGAGGGTGGGATTGGGAGGGAATGAGGGAGCAGGATACAGCTGGGATACAGAGTTAATAAAATGTAACTGATAAGAAAAAAATAAAAAAAAAAAAAAGAAAGAAAGCTGAGGCAGAGATCAAGAGCGAGAGAGAGCCAGTAAGCAAGCAGCATTTCTCAGTGGTTTCTGCTTCAGCTCCTATGTTACTTCCTGCCTGACTTCTTTCTTTGGTGATGTCACTTCCTGTCCCGACTAACCTAAGTGATGATGGACTGCTATGTGGAAGTGTAGGCCAAAATAAAGCTTCTCCCCTGCCCCCCCCCCCACAAGTTGCTTTTGGTCATGTGTTTGCCACAGCAACAGAAAAGCAAACCAGACTACCCACCAAGATTGAGAAAAGTAATGCCCTCTGTCACATGTGAGTCAGCACTCCCAGCAGCAGCAGTGAAGGTCTTTCTGTACCCTGCAAATGAAGAACGTGAAACCAGAGAAAGATAAGTTCAGAAACAAAAGGCTGGTATTGACCTCACGCTGCGCAACAGTGTCAACCTTCAGTAACAGGCAAGCACCTGCTGCCTTCTAGAATTCACAGTGTCCTCGCTCCCCAAAAGCCACTAAGGCAGACCATCTGAGGGCAGGCCATGAGGAGCAGATACCCAGCTCAGGCAGAAAGCCAGGCCGTGAGGAGCGGATTGTGTAGGGAGGGTCCGATGGTAGGGTCTACTCCACCATCTAAGATAGAGGGGATCACGGTGCTCATTCCTACACGGTACGGTTTTGGCCAACACCTCTAAGATGTCTCCAGCTCACGGTCTCACCTTTAGCTAGAGAGGGGAGCAAGCTGCCTATGAAACTGTGTCAGCCTTCTCTACTCCTCTAATTCTATCTACGTGCTGACTGGAATCATTGCGATAATTACTGAGAACACATAAAAATGACTTGCACAAGCTTACAGTACTTAAGAATATGTCTACAGCTAGTTCTGAAATTATTTTAGTTGTTCCATTAACAAACTTAAAGTTTTATGACTTTATTTAATACCCCAGTAACATAAGGCACTGCTGTGGGATTCTAAACTTTTGTGTGTATGGGCATAAAAAGTAAGATAGATAGATAGATAAATAGATAGATAGATAGATAGATAGATAGATAGATAGATAGATAGATAGA